AATATAATTTGAGGTATTTTACTAACATCAAGAAACGAAGGAAAAAATTAACTACTGTTTTGCAATATAAAGACCTATAATTCTAACAATAATTTTTAAGTATAAAAACGACTTTACATACAAAAGTGAGCAATTATAAAAAAGCAATTTTAAAATCATTTTATTTATTAATAATATTGAAAAAGTCGTTGAATGGATTTATTACATCCAATGTAGGTACATACTTTACTGTATACAGAGTGTCTCAAAACTCCGTGTACAACTAGCAACCACATGTTTCTAGGATCAAAATAAATCGATTGAAACGAATTTATTTACATAGCAAATTGACTCGATTGGGCTATAAAAAAGTTTTTCTTCGATTACTCAACAACATCTCATACGATTTCAATGTAATTCAGTACGAAAATATGTCTATGAAAGCACTAATTTTTTTTTTAATTTATCGAAGGGTGAGGGTACTTTTTTCGCTTTCGTTATTTTAGTGAAATCGATAAACATAAAAAATAGGAATGTTTACGTACATAATTTTATTCAAATGGAACGAAGCGTGTTCGTTTTATTCAACCCTCTAAAAAAGTTCTGAAAAATAATTCCATCTCTCCTGCCCCTACATACGGGAAATTTTTGCGTTTTAGGAAAATTAAACGAATACATCAGTATTAGTACCTTTCATATCTACATACTACATTTTATTGAAATTGTATGAATTGTCTTTTAGTAATGGTATCTTTGGTGCGAATCAATTTAGTATATATACATACATGTATCATTTGAAAGATAGACCCTTTTAAATTATGTATACGACGAATATTCTAATTTAATAGCCCCCTTAATCTTCATAAGTGGTGATATTTTGAAAATTAGAAATTATACTTTATGTATTTTCTGTGGTGATTTCAAATGTGCCACTAGAATTTTCATGGAACGCCATGCAAATTTTTGGAAATTCGAAATCACACGATCTAATTGTTTAGATAAATAATTTCAGCTGTCAAACAGTTTCGTTAGTGTCATTTTCGAAATGAGAAAAAGGAGGCATTTCAAATATCTAAAAATATACACGGTGTTTCATTGAAAAAATATATAATTAGAGCACCCCCTCCCTGTATATTAACAGGTTTCTGAAAATGCTAGTACCACATTTGAAATTATACAAACCATTACTTTGAATTTTCAAAATCACACTTCTTATGAAGATAAAATGGGGTATCAAATAAGAAAATTTATCTTGTACTTACAAAAACGCAGTAAACAACATTTACAATATTAGAATTATTTCACAATTATTCGAATCGTCTTATGATGAAACCTACATTTGATGATTATGATAGAATTCTATTATATAGTATATACATATATCACGTATTCACAATCGATCCAACCTGAAGTGATCCTCTACACTATCCGATATTAAATTTATACTAGGATCTGACAGCATTTGCAAACCATCCAAATCAAGTGGCCCCAAACCTTCTCTAAGAGATTCATCAGATAACAATTCCGCTTCTATCTGTTTTGCAAACGCCAGATTTTGCCTTGTTAAATCATCGCCTGACGAAAAATCTGTTAAAATAAAAATAAATAAAAAGATACCATACATTATTACTAAAAAAATCAACAAAGCAATTCAAAATGGTTCATTTTCTAACTATACTGGAAGGAACTGCAGATGTATCAGAATTGGTCAGCACACGATAGTCGAAACATGAGAAGCACTTGTACAATTTGATTAAAAAATATGAACAAACGCTTTTTTAATAACCTATTAAATGTTTGTACATTAATACAACAATTTATAAAATATGATGATTTAATAATGTTTTCGATTTTTGAGATTTTAAGAAAGTTTTGGAATTCTTTTAAATAATTTTGAATCTGCAATGTGATAATACACTTACACACTTGGGCAAAAAGTTTCGTTATGGAAATTAGGAAAACTATTTATGTCGTGACGATGGAAAAGTCACAGAAAACGAAATAATCGAAAATGAATCATTGAGCAGATAAGAGCTCTTAAAGTTAAAGAAATACATACAGAAACTTACTTCTTCCTTCGCATACATACGGAATAAAAATTAAGAGCAGACAAATTTTAAGAGCATTTCCGATTACAAAATTTTCCGTTCATTCCATATACATTCCTAAGGAGATAGACATCAAACTACAGTGGAATTCGTTTATTATGACTCCGCCTATATTGACCAACCGCTTAATATGAAGTAATTGCAGTGTTAAATTTGGTTTTCATATTAAATTCTCTATAGGAAAGTTTGGATATAATGACTCCGTTTAAAATGACATATCGTTGCCTTTTTCTCAAGAAATCATATCCGGCTATAGTGACCCAAATGAATAATAACATTTTCGCTCATTTTTCTGACCCTTCGTATGTATATTGATATTACAATTCATCGTTCTTTTTCTTTTTATGTCAATAAATATATATAGTTTTTCTCTATATTAAAATAACTAACCAAAATAAAAAGTTGTTTATTTTCTAAGGCTATGCTTTGTATGACGCCCGCTGAGTATGACGTGTTTGTCATTTCCTTTCCATTTCATTATAAGCCGATTCTACTGTATTTTATAATGAATTAACAAATTGATCGCAAATATGTGATAATTAAAGATATAAGGGGTAATAACAAGCTTTTGATCAAGAGGTTCGATGATTTTACCCTTACCCTTGTCCTTATCTGTTCTAGTTTAGTGAAGCTTTCCGTAAACAAGTTGCATAAAATGCATTTAAAGTTGTTGTTGTAATATTATAATGTAATAATATTGTGTTTTGTTGACCATTAGCCTTCACGATCATCCACAGGCGCCGCCAGGACAGTCAGTAGGAGACAATTCGACCTACTGAAAATTTTACGCTTATTAAAAGCATGTAGACGGGAAGCAACTAGGTATAGTTCAGACTTTCAACTTACTCAGACGCTAATAAAGAAAAGAGAGAGGAATAATATTGCACCAATTAATGTGTAACAGAAAGAGATGCAGACAAGTAGACTTTGAGCATGTTGTCAGCATCGGACTTTAAAGAAAATTCAATATTCTCGGGAATTTAGGAGTGCAAAGATGCTTGAAAGAATGAAAGGGTATGGATCTATCAGAGAACGTCATGTACACTATCCTTCCTTAAATCGACTAACAAAAATAAAGACAGACATATGATAGAAGAGAACTGTGGTAAAATAAATGACATACGACTGTAGAGTATAATTCGATAAACATTGAAAAAGGATAGCGCTATTCGCTACCAATCGCTGCTAGATAGAATTAGGGTATTACAAACTTAACAAGAGCGTGTACAAAATACTGCAAATGATTACAGTTCCAAGTACAAACAAGAAAGAAGATACGTCCATTCTCACAGATAATTTATTGCGGACTTTACCAATTTCAATCGTCCCAACTATAAGCATGGAATTATTGCCAGAACTCTCGTTAATAAGAAAAGAACAATTCCGCTTGAATAAAAACGTAGAGTTGTCACTTATATTACTTAATTATATCATACTTTGACCGTTTAATAATAATATTTTGCAGTAGGACAAAGAACACATAAAATTTACATACTGAAAAAAATTGGCATTATTAATTCAAAAAGAACAATTCAGCTTGAATAGCAGCATAGAGTTGTTACCTTCATTATATGATTATTTTGTGAGCGTTTATATATTAATATTTTGTAGTGGTAGGACCAGAAACACAAAATTTACATACTGAAAAAAGTTGGACCACATTTTCTGTCACTATCGCCCGGTCTAACAAGCACGAGACAATATAAATAGACGTTTTTAGAACTTTTTTCCTATAACTATTTAACGACTGAGTTGCGTAATCTCGGTTAGAAGTGATAGTCACATTCATTTCAGCTTGATTCTTTTACCGCTTGAGAATTCTTTAGGGCATGTACACTGATAATATCTAGAAAACAGTATTTTTATTTCATTAATTTTAATTTTAGCACAGTAATAACCTCCAGACAAATTCATTAATGTCTAAACTAAGAACTTTCGATCTTCAGTACACTAGTAAATATATGTAGGCTGACACGGCCGATGTCTGTTTTAGATAGTGTGATCAGGCTTTCTGGCCATTGTCTATGAAAATTCCTTCCCGACGTTTCGCCTTCAACTGCGATAGGCATTCTCAAGGGATAGGGACCATCCACCGAGCGACCTTCGAGATAAACCTACGAAAGCGACGACCACTTCATCACCCTTGAGAACACCTGCCGCAGTTGCAGGCGAAACGTCGGAAAGGAATTTCCATAGACAACAACCAGAAAGTCCGATCACACTTTCTACTTCAGTTCACAAACACAACTTCAGTTCCTTCTTTTATATTAGTCCATATATATAAGAAATATTGAATATAAATCATATAATAAAAAAAAATTAGTTGATAAATAAAAATTCAGCAAACATACCGGTTAAAATAATATCAGGAATACTGGTTGGAGTATTTGGTGCTGTATGCATAGTGGTAGGAACAGCAGTGGAGTAAACTAATTGAGATGGTGATGTGCTGTAGTAGCCAGTATCAGCAGATAATTCTGAGCTTCTTGGGGCGGATATTTCCGGAACATTATGTGAAGGCATTTGTGTCATATGAATATTTTTTGTATTATCTAAATACGGCAAATTATTGACCGGGCTCAAAGGTAGATCCGCCTATTTGAAAATATGGTGAATGAATCATTTTTTACTTGAAAAGGATGATTTATGATCCCTTACTTTTTCAATTTTAATGTGTGTATTCACAAGTCTCATACAAACAATTGTTACTGTAAAATAATAATATACAGTATAAATTCTTAAATATTTGATTAACTGTTTATAATCGAATATTCACGTGTAAATGACGTTCGCTAAGGCAGGCGAAAGCATGAAACGTAAAACAGGTAACATGAAATATGTATCATATAATAACAAATTACATGGGAATTCGCTCACAAGCTAAATTCTTTTAATTTATACCATAGAGAATCAAACTTTTAAAACTTCTTCACGTAGATTCTGCATTATATTATTGTTTCATAATTTCATATTTCGGGTTATTTAGTACTATTTTCATTAATACTATACAAAATGAAAGACGATCAAGAATTTATGTGATGTTTTCTTTTAATAATGTATGTTAAGTTTGTATTTTCAAATTTTCAAAACGTGCGTTTTAAATCTCTAGTTTGATGCCAAATTCGATATATAAATATTTGCAAATATTTTTCTATTTTTACGTTGAGTATTTTGTTTCTTATTATATTAGATTTAACGTGACAAAGCTGACCACGCCTCACTTGTCCAAATTTGATTACTAGTTTAGCAGNAATATAATTTGAGGTATTTTACTAACATCAAGAAACGAAGGAAAAAATTAACTACTGTTTTGCAATATAAAGACCTATAATTCTAACAATAATTTTTAAGTATAAAAACGACTTTACATACAAAAGTGAGCAATTATAAAAAAGCAATTTTAAAATCATTTTATTTATTAATAATATTGAAAAAGTCGTTGAATGGATTTATTACATCCAATGTAGGTACATACTTTACTGTATACAGAGTGTCTCAAAACTCCGTGTACAACTAGCAACCACATGTTTCTAGGATCAAAATAAATCGATTGAAACGAATTTATTTACATAGCAAATTGACTCGATTGGGCTATAAAAAAGTTTTTCTTCGATTACTCAACAACATCTCATACGATTTCAATGTAATTCAGTACGAAAATATGTCTATGAAAGCACTAATTTTTTTTTTAATTTATCGAAGGGTGAGGGTACTTTTTTCGCTTTCGTTATTTTAGTGAAATCGATAAACATAAAAAATAGGAATGTTTACGTACATAATTTTATTCAAATGGAACGAAGCGTGTTCGTTTTATTCAACCCTCTAAAAAAGTTCTGAAAAATAATTCCATCTCTCCTGCCCCTACATACGGGAAATTTTTGCGTTTTAGGAAAATTAAACGAATACATCAGTATTAGTACCTTTCATATCTACATACTACATTTTATTGAAATTGTATGAATTGTCTTTTAGTAATGGTATCTTTGGTGCGAATCAATTTAGTATATATACATACATGTATCATTTGAAAGATAGACCCTTTTAAATTATGTATACGACGAATATTCTAATTTAATAGCCCCCTTAATCTTCATAAGTGGTGATATTTTGAAAATTAGAAATTATACTTTATGTATTTTCTGTGGTGATTTCAAATGTGCCACTAGAATTTTCATGGAACGCCATGCAAATTTTTGGAAATTCGAAATCACACGATCTAATTGTTTAGATAAATTGATTTTAATACAAAAAATCAAAATTTAAAAAAAAATCATCAAAATCGGTGCTGTTCTTGAGGACTTATGACTAAAAGGCTTCCTTGATACGACTAAATCGTTGAGAAATACATTAAGCAAATTTAATGACACTTTTAATGTTTACCACCCAAGAATGACGGATAGTCGATTTTTGGGCTTCACTTTCTGCGACAGTCCAATATGAGTGTTGTGAATCCCCTCTCATTCATAGTCCCAGATGAAATACAGTCACAATACATTTAACTCTTAATATGAAGTTTTTTAACAATCAAAAAAACACGAAACAATATCAAAATAATGTCTAACCTTCATTATCGGAAAGATGGCTCTCTGATACGTTCTTTTGAGGCTACGTAGAAATGTTTTTAATATAATCAAGTCAATATCATAACCATAATTTAACATAAAACATTTTCTTCGAAGGTAAAAATACAAAATTTCATTTCGTCGGAAAATTAAAATGTAAAACGGAAATTACCGCAAAATAAGCATGTTTCATAAACCATTCTATTTTAATGAAAATATCATGAAACAGGCTGTTCAGTTCACATTTATTTTACACATTTGCTCTGTTCCTGACTAATAAATAATCTATTACCTACATTATATGTGTGAATTTAATTAATATTAAGACTAAGTACTAGCAAAAAATATTTTTTAATTTAGCAAAATTAACGGGAACAACTATCAAATAATTTCTGAAAATAGAAATATTTTCCACTCATAAGTGTAGTCCGTATTTGTATGATTCTTAAGAAACAAATGGCAGTGAAAATTTGAAAATAACAGAATATAAAATAAAATGAAATAAGAAAACATTTATATTGCATAAAAGAAAACATAAATATATTTGATTTACATAAAGGTTGATGGAGTTTTTAAACAAAACGTTTCTTTTAATTCCTCGTTGTTACCACAAACACTTACAAAGAATTGGTGTTAAGTCTAAAAAAATATATACAAATATAATTTGAGGTATTTTACTAACATCAAGAA